ATACCGGGATAGGGGTTAAGGAATTGGTTTAATGGTATTATTTGTACACTATGAATTTAAATTTTACACTATACATGCCGGAGTTGTCTGTAACTAACGTTGCATTGAAGCGCGCTCACGGCTCAAGCGATCCCCACTACGAACTCGACTACGTGGCCGAGTAGAGGGGGACATCCGTTGCATGATTTCGTTACATAGGAACTCGCATGAAACGAACTTAACCTACCGTTCGTAAAGAAGTTTCACTTCAAAAATACATCTTTTTTCAAAATTGTTCTTTCAGCGTTTACAAAAATTAAACTTCCTGTAGCCGATAGCGGTATTTGAACTCAGTAAACCCAAAAGTGTGATTATCATTTTCATTTTAAAATACGTTTTTAATTTTCATAAAAATAAAAATTTACTTACCAAGCCAATTCCTTCGAAAGCATATAATGCTGTCCCAAAAAATAGAGGCAATTTCTGTATGTCAGCAGCGTAGTGTCTTGTAGTAATGGAAGGTAAATCGACACTAGTGTAATATAAAGTAATACTGATCCCTGCTAACATTAAAATGTTAGCAATTATCGAGAACGGCGCCAAATATTTTAAATTCCTGATAAAGCAGGTCAACAAAATGGGAAACAAAACAATTGCCATGTGTAAATGGACGTCCATTTTAAAACCATAATAGTCAACTACCTACAATTATAAATGTACAGGGTGTTCATCCGTTGAAGTCGATAATGATAATTTGAAATTAGAGTGTAAAATGATCATTTAAAAAGATTCATAAATTACCTGTTTTATATTTGTTGAAATAAAAACAAAATAAACACAACAAAAGCCAAGTTGTGTTACACATAGAAAGAGATTTATTAATTTTCTCATGTAGGGCGCAATTTTCCTTAAAGAAAGAGGTCCAGTTGCAAAGCAAAGTTCTACAGTCTGAGCAAAATCAGGTGAACTCTCTAATTTTAGTTTTTCTGTCATTTTCTTGGAAGCGCCCAGCTAAAATTAAAAGGTCACATTACTACCTATAATCGATACCTGTTTAATTATTATTGTTTATTAGAAAAAGTATAACTTCATTTCATCCCTTATCTAATGCAAGTTACAAAACAAATTAGGGTACGTATACATAGGTGCTGCAAGCTGCCAAAAGTTGAACTGGGCCGCACGAGAAAGCGCTGCTTCTTACTTTAAAAACCGTACCCTTACCCTTTGTTCCCATTTTCTAGCATATCGCTGCTATTTAGTGGGCTCATTGAGCCGCATTTAACCCAAGTTTTAATTCCCTAGAAATGCTTTTCATATAAAGTATATTCGAACTTCTGTAACTCGAAATCTTTTTCATAGAGAATATCGAATTTCTACGAAAATCAACGGCTGAATGAAACTAATGTCAATATAAATTTTTACTGTGGCACATAACATTGTAACTCGGTAAAGAAACAGTATAAAGATACGGTAGGAAAGGGCAACACACACCAAGTAGATATCTCAATGGATTTAACAACAGTATAACGCAGATGTGCCTGAGCTTTTTCGAAAAACTTTATTACGAATCGAAAAAATAAACAGCTCTATTTCCCTCTATCATGTTGAAGTTTTTAAACATTCCAAGTTATATTAAAAAATGAAGGAACAAAAGAAGTTTAAGAAGTCAGTAGCTTTTTATTGAAAGCCCCGTTAGGCCCCAATAGGTTTAAGGCAAAATCATATTTTCTTAATTAATTAGAAAACTCACCAATAAATGCATACTATGAACACATATAAATCCTAAAAATAATGTCAATCCAGGCGCCACTGCAATCCCAGCATTTTTAAAAGCATCCCCCATGGCAAATACTCCAGAGCCTACATTTCCTTTTAGTAGATGCATCAACGTTTCGCCATATCTAACAACAAAAAGATAATCTTCAGTTCACTTTAAAAACTTTATCATAAGTTTCATGTATTTTTTTTTTTAATGAAAACTCAAATGTTGGTAATAATTTTCTAGACCAATAGTTTACTAACATCGAAAATTATTCAAAAATTATAAAAATTAAAATAACAAAACAGTCATAAAATATGTAAGAAAATAAACAAAAATATCCTTCAACAAGTACAGATCAAAAACATTCGTTTTGGAATTCCAACAGTGTTTTTTTGTCTTAATTTATAGTCTGATCAAAATTGAATTCATAAAATTATATAACAACATAAATATCTACATGAGATACTTTAAATGTCCTTCACAAAGAACAATACGCCATTTTACTATATATCGCAGTTTACCTCATCATTAAAAAATTCTTTAGATTCTAATTATCTACAAACTCAAGGTCAATTTACACATGTTCACATAAATAAGCGTTGCAATTTTCCGATATCGATTATAGCCATAAAAAATGCTACTTATAAATAAAAAATACTTCTAAGGTGATCTAGTCACTTTATACCACGTTGGTGTATATGTTGCTATATATTAAATTACATTCACGTCTGTGGTTCACCTCGGATCAGAAGCTGCTAAAGGTCACGGGGATTTTTAGACATTTTTTTTTATTTTTGCCAATTAGCCATTTTCAGTAGATTCGTAACCACACCTCTAACTTGATCTTTTTCTACCCCTCGGTGTGCAAAATGTCTTCAATTTGAATGTCTGTCAGTTTTTGATCATCATCATAAAGTCGTCAGTCCTAAGACTGGCTAGAAACGCACCTCCATTCTTTCCTATCTTGACCTAAACTTCGCATTCTCCTAAAACTAGAACAACCCACATCCTTAACAATATTTGCGAAGAGTAATCTAATCTAGAGCTACCTCTACCCCTCCTAACTCTCCTTTCTGACTAGACCTTCATGCCTGAGAAAGTGCCCTACCAACCTATCTCGCCTATTTTTTTTTTTATTTTGATAGAGTCCTCTGTTCTCCTGTTTTGTTTAATATCTCTTCATTTGTAAACCTACTTTATCCACGATATCCTCATCATTCGCCTGTAACACCAAATTTCGAACGCTTCAAACCTTTTCTTTTCCGCAGTGCCCACCGTCCATGTTTCGCACCCGTACAGCGCCGCGTTATGAACAATATTTTTCGAATTTCTAAATTAACCGTTCGCGAGCATAGAAGTAATTTCTTTTTATTGAAGACGACTCGACCCTGCATTATCCTCTACTTTATATCCTTACTACTCCTTCCGTTCTGACTTATCTGACTTCCTAGATACCCAAAATCAGCCACTTCTTCTAATTTTTCGTCTCCTATCTTTATATTCGCTCAATTTTTGATATGGACGCAAAAATTAGTTTCATTGTTTCAGTGCAAATCTTTACACAGTTAACTCAATTTGCAGATTTTAGGGAAGACTGCTCACATCTATATGAAATGGGCAGTTTCCCATTGAATTGACTTTTTGGGAAGACATATTAAACGAAGGAAAATGTTGAGAGTTGTTACATACGTATTTCTAAGTTTACAAGTTTCAAATCATAATAATTTTTCATAAAAAAAGTTTGGAAGAAATTACAAGCATTGATTATTTTTTATTAACCTATCTTGTCCTTGAAAGTCTTTATTTAGGTGATCTAGTTGCTTTTATATCCACTAAAAGACATAAATCTAACAGTCAACCATCATCTCTTAATTCTTATCTCATTTCCTTCCGTTACATAGGAAGACATTTTCTATGACCTACGTAATTTACGCTGCGAGTTGACCAGTGCTTAATGTCATCAAATTTGAAAATTTATACTTCATCGTATACATACATATTGATTATTGTTCCTCTTCATGCATACAAATAGCTATCTATCAGCCACCGTTTACGCGGATGCTGACGTCAAAATTAAAATTCACTTTTCGATGATACAACTTACATTCTCTATCGATCTTGTTTGTTGTTATGTATAATTTTCACATTAAAAAGTCATAATAAAGTATTGGTGTGGTTGTTTATAATGTGAGGAGTAGTAATTAATAAACAAAGACGTGCAAAATCAATTAAAATAACTTTGGTGTCTTGGATGTTGAATACTGGAATTACTTATGAATCGGTAATAAGTAAGACAGTTGAGAAACTCTTATGTTAATTATGAACGATTGAATTGGAATTAACTTTACCAATACAATATTGTTATTGTTATTGTTTTTGATACTGTTATTGTTTTTTAATTTGGTTCTTCATTCATGAATGGTTTTACGCACAAATCGCTAATAGGTCTACTCAAAATTCTACGAATATTTGACTCATTAATATTTTCTAATAAGTTTATGAATCAATCAATTCCATTATACTTTGGAAATCATATAATTTCATGCCTACTAAATATTATACGGTTATTATTAATATTCTGCTCATTATTATTATTAAATTATGTGAAAAATTAGAAGTAGTTCCAGCATAAGTAAAATATTCAATACCACGGCTATTTAGACTTTTTTTAATGGGTGCTCTGTATTTTCCTAATAGAATTTCAGTTTCTATTATTTATTATTTTTGAGTGTCTCATTTTTTCATGTTTTCTATTATGTAAAGGTGTGAAAAATTTACTAATTTGTAACCTTTCCTGGCACTTATAATTCATAATTAATCACTTCGAAAATCTAATACATACGCCCAAATTAATTACGTGGAAGTAATTATTATCTGAAGTTTTATTCCAAGGTTGGACAAAGGAAAAGTATCCGCATTCCTTAAAAAAAACCGTTTCTTGAATGCGTTTTACATACAAATATGTGTGTACGTATGTAATTCTTGAAGAAATGCTTTAGTTAATAACTTCACCTGTTTTTAAATGTATTGAACAAACTACAACATAAAATATAATATTTGCAATTAAAATCAGCACCTACACACAATACTCTTTTATGCACTATCTACAAAGTGTTCTAAGAGATAATAAATAACGAACTTAAATAAAAGGTTGTAATGTTCAATTAAAAATTAAACAAAAGAAAAAATGGTATGTATGTTACAATTTATTATTAATAATTATATTTAGAATGGAAATCAAATTAAATAGATGGTAAAGAATAATTTAAAATTGCAAACAACTCATTAGTTTTTTGTTTTGGTTTCTAATTACTTTTTAATTTTTTATTTTAATTGTACATTACTGTGATATTTAAATTAACGTATGCTTGTAATGTAACCTTGTTACATTGGCTAATTAAATACCTATTGCAAATATAAACAATTTAAATTTGAAACGCCCACATAGTACAATTAATTTTTAAGTCGGACTGATTATCTCAAAGGGTTGCGTAAGTATTATTTATGGTCAAAATGTTGATCTTTTAACGCAATTTACTCAATATTTATCACCATTTGTATTAAGTAAATATTTATCGACAAATGTTACCTAAACCCAATAATTTACAATAACGGATTAACAAGTACCTACATTTATATCTAATGAAAAATACTGTTTTTATATTGTAATAGACAATCTATAAAATAATAAATTGTACGCATAATATTTATTGAGGAGATTATTACGTTAGAAATTTAAATTTCGCAACTACAACAAAGGTAGCGCCTCGACTAGACTAGACTAGACTAGACTAGAAGTAATTGAGCAGGACTAAAACCAATACCAAGACTGGGACAAGTTAATTATGGCGTGATAGATTAAGGAATTGCACTTTAAATGCCCTTCCCGAATGTAAAACTGCCCCAGCAGCTGTATCTTTTAGGTTTAATAAGTTACTAATTGTTTAAGTATTTTGACGAAACTATTATTAATAATGAAAGATTGTTTTTATACTTCATTTACTTTCTCTAGCGATGTGCTCCTTCCAATGTCTTGGATGCTNTCTCGACTCTTGTTCATTAAACATACTTTTTCATACAGTACCTGCCAAAAGTTTTGTTCAATCATGAATAGTAGTGCGAGTCGAAAACAAGCATTAAAGCCTTTAATATGTCTTCAAATATAAATAAACATCTCGTTGATATTTTCAGTAGTAATTGGTATAAATAACAGCACATTTAAGCAATGCAATTGTAGTGAATAAAATGGTCAATTTTTCCATGCAGTACTGTACGGATTATACGCTCCTCACCGGTTAAGAGTTGTCTCCTTCCTTTTCTAGCCTAGTACTGTTCTTTACTAGTTTGCGCTGGTCAAACTGAAGGTCATATCTCGACAGAAACTAAACCAAGTATAACTGTTAAAACATATTTTTCTCGTACTCTGCAATTTCTCCGTCAGATACAGCTGAGGCAATATTATATTCAAACCTATCGCACTTCATTAAAAATAATAAAAATTTCGCGCCATTAGTTTTACTATAAAATGGCACCTTGTGTATCCTATCAAAATTTTACCACATACGTGAACTGTACGCAAAAACGCTTCAGACTTTTTCATTGACCGATAAAAAAAGTACAAAGTTTCAAGAGGTAATAAACAAACCGTCATTACCTCTGGTACTTACGACGTTGGGTGTTCAACTGATATACCATGACCTCCGTGGCCTCTTTGTGCTACAGCGCCCATGGCCTCTTTCTCTTTACTCGCCTTGTCTGGCATCTGGATCGCTATTATGGGATCTTTCGATTGAAAACCCATGCTCTGCGTTTCTTCATAACTGAAACAAAACAAAATCAAAAGTTACTTCCTTTGTTTTTTTTTTTATCAAAGGTCCTAACAATTTAACCATTTTATTTTATTAGATATGTCTACATAAGTAAAACGGAAATAAATAAATATCAGAATCGCGTAACAATTTCGTTCGGGCACTGTACAAATCATGACTATAATGACTATAAAGATAGAGTAATAGAGATAATATAGTGAAGAATTAATCGGTGTTATGAAATCAGTTGTGTTGTAATATTTGTGCATTTAAGCAATCATAAGCGATTTATAAGATGATTGAGGCGCCTGATTGCAGTTCTGTGTGGTACAAATTTTGCAAATTATTGCTAAAGACTGAAGAACAAGGGCCGACGAGAAAGTAGGCTGACTACTCACTTCAGACATCGTTTTTCTTGTCGTTTGTATACGGTTTTCACTTACGTATGTTATTTATTTATTGCAATACGGTCGCCGGGAGAAAATATTCCATTATTCCAGTTCAACTGGTAATTTCCAAGAAATGCATAAAAACCAGAAACGTGTATTTAAGTTTAATAAAAAAAAAAACATATAAAAACCAATTAACTGAATCAATTATTTACACGTAACATACAAGCAATATTGATTTTAAAAAATTCGTTTCAATAAACACAAATATTGTGTATGTTGTATGTTATTTCGCCCTGTTGTTGATTACTATCAACAAATACGTAGGTAGCTAAGCACTTTAAAAATTTCGGTCAAGTGTAAAACGACCTTGTCTGATTTGCTCCATATTATAAGTTATGGGTACTCTAATTCATTTCTTAAGTAAGAAAATGATGATGCATTAACCCCATTGATAACGATATTTTGATGATATTGACTCTCTTTTGATTATTTTCCTCTGCAGCATAAATAAAAGTCAAGTGAGTATAAACAAATTATTTTATCACTAATAGTGATATACTTATGGTTAGTCCTCGACACAATCATTCTGACTACTGAGGTATTTGTGGTACCTATAGACAAACTTTCCCAAATCCTCGTCTAGAAGCACCCACTTATCAGTTTTGAAGCGAAAAAGACAGGGAAAAGATAGAAATCAATCGGAGCTAGTTCGGAAGACCTTTAAAAGGAAAAAAAAAACAGAAACCGTTCTGACCTTCCAGAATTATTCTGATCCATGGTACCAACAACTGTAGTCAGAGCGCTGGAGCAACCCAAAGGTTCTCTAAACAATTTTAGTGGATCATGAATCAGAACAACTTGTTTTTTATGGCTTTCCAATCTAGCCCCCAGTGGATTCTATCTTTTCCCTGCTCTTCCCGCATCCCTACTCAGGAGTAGCTTCAAGACAACGTCTAGCAACAACATTTTATGAAGAGGCTATTGGAAAGCTTAACTACACAGAATGGTTACGTTGAAAACTAGCCATCAGTACATGAACATGCGATTGAATCATCATCATTAGCCCTCTTGAATTTATTTTATTGAAGATGTGCAACAACATCAATTACACTCGTTTATTGTATGCTATTATTACGTTAGTTTCTATTCCAGCGCCGCTTTCCGGTAACATAATAAAGGATGGTTCACGCTACACCGTTTTAGAGCCGGCCAAACTTTAACTTCTTAGGAGCCTCTACCTGAGGTTAGTTTGGGTCACTGCATACCCTTCAATGAGTACGAGAGAGTAAGCAGTAATGGCCCATATCGATTCCTCTTTTTCTTCTCCCTTCCACGCCCATATCAAGCCCCTTCATCCCGTAGACGAGCGAAGCCTCTCTCGCAACTCAAATAGTATCTACGACAATTTTCTAATGATCGTCCCGCAGCTCAGGGGTAGCATGCCGGACTACGTTCGTAATGCTATTGGGTTCGACTATGGAAGAGGGGACTCACCTATGAAATGAAAGGGATAAGAAAAGGAAGGAATCATCTCGCTCGCAATCGCAGGAGCAATGAGGAGCTCGTTGGCTATACCTGAGGAGCACTCGGGAGTCAAAAGAGCCGAGTTTGCCCGGCTATGGACTAAAGCACTGAGACAAATTGTACTGCCCTTTTTTTATGAAATATATCACGCCAGGCCGTGCCTCAAACCTGAAGTGTGGATATGGCAGCTGACAGTTTGTACGTTAAATCCTGACTTTTTATTATATTTCACTCGATGTTACATGAATGCAAACCTACGCTCAGTAATACGCACTCGGCGCACACGGCTCGGACCTGAAATGGAGTTGCGTGAACCACCCTTTAGAGTACTTTATTTACGAAAGTTTAAGCGCTATCAGAAACATTTAAGATAGAATTAATTAATCGGTCCCAATAAAACTAATTAACTAAACAACGTCATAACGTTGATTAACTATTTCATGCATATATTGGTTACATGTTAGTTTATTGTAGCGACTTGAATTGACCGTTCACAACAATACACGATTGTTTCCCTTTCACTTTTTAAATTATTATTGAAGTTACAGGCACAGGATTACTACGATACGGTAACTGTAAATAATGTATGCGTAACTAATTAGAAAAAGCCTACAAAATTTTTGCAGTAAAAGTTTGGTGGATATCAACAACTCACCCTTTTTCCTTTTGGTCCAAACTATAACTAGTTTTTGATCCAAACCAAGATTTCCGGTTCTCCTCTGGGAGAGTTTTGTTCTGCATCTCCATCCTGTAGATAAAGAAAAAACTGTTAGTATCATCGAAATTCCACTGTTTACGTAACAAATATTGCAAAAATAATTATAAAAGGTACATGCATTTCTCTTCTATATGGTTCAAACAATTAATACGTTCAACAATTCACGTTTGAATAGTCAAACGTGAATGTGTGCCTGTAGGTACAAGCCATGTATGTCAAGGAAAATTAGCTATTTTATAAATTAATAACACTTGTACGATAATAAAACATTATTATATCCAAAGGGCAAAAGAAATCTGGATGTAAAAACGTTTTTGTATAGCTGTAAATGAAAATTATTTTAATGTGGCTAGTACACTCGGAATGTTTTACCTATCTGTAAGAAAATGCCTCTTTAAAAAAAAACACTGGTTGGAATGTTTAAAATAGATAAATAAGCAATTTAGCATGTTTACCGTACAACAATAACGATTACATAAATTGTAAAATTCTAAGGTACTAAGCATTTATAAGGATAAATTGAGAATGGCTTTTGCGATCATTGTCATATGTGCTGCTAGTTTTTGGGCTAGTTGACTGACGTCTAAATTTCTCCAGAAGTTAATATAATGTTTTATTTATAATCTAAATATGGTTGCTTTCTAGTCAATGAGAAACAATACTTGTAATTTTTGTATTACTTTTTATTGACTGCATCTTTATTCACTTTATTTGATAAGCTTCTGTCTGATCGGTCGATATAGATTGCTAGGCATTTCCTGGTTTTTATATTGGCAAAGGTCTAGATTATAGCCCTCACCCCCTTCGGGGGTGTAGTGGGTGGGATTGAAAGAGGAAGTCTCCCCCACCACTGTACCATAAAAAGTTCGTGGCGGTCTCACCCCCATAAAAAGTTATGAGAATTGATTATTTTGACAATTTTCATACACTGTAATTCCAATACAATTCAATAAAAAAATTATTTTCAAGTGGGTGGAGGTGGAGGATCGAAAGAGGAAGTCTCCCCCACCACTGTACCATAAAAAGTTCGTGGCGGTCTCACCCCCATAAAAAGTTATGGGGGTTCAAAGTTAATAAATATGCCAATTTTTATACATTTCTAGGCATGTAAATATTTANACTAAATACAATTAAATCAAAACGGAAACAATTCCACACAGAATGCAAAATAATTCAGCTTAAAAGAACCAAAGCGAATGGGTTGTTTTACACAGTTAAAAAACGACTTTTAGAAAATCATTGCTCAACCGCCATATTTCGCAATATAATAATTAATTAATATAAGAAACAAGAAACGTTCATGGTCGAAAATTACGAATCGTAACCCAATTCGGTTACACAATTTGGCGAACAAGTTTATAATACAAGATTACCTACCTATTTGTAGTTCTAATCCGTTTCATTTTCTATTTCGAGCTATCAATGCGTAACAAGTAATGCATTACTTCTAGACAAAGAAACACTAATCTAGCACTTTCTTTATATGTCTACTTAATAACCACAGGTGCAGTTTGGAACATACAATAAGTACAATTGTACAATTATTCTATTGTCCAAAGTGCACAAGTACATGTTCATAATTATGTACACGTACATGAAGTGTTTTTTTGTTTACCATTTTTTGTTAATCTGGATACAAACATTATTGACATTCCCTGAGAAAAACACACAACCCATAATCATGCACAATGCACTCTCATTCGTACAACCTCTTCGTACAAGTTATTATATTACTACTCAATCAAGGCCGTATTAATTTGTTGTCAATAGTAGCGATTAAGCTAATCCTTTGACAATTATCTCAGGAATCCGTAAAAATTTTTATGACCCCATTTTCCTGTTTGAAAACCTCTTTACTAACCGTCAAATCGAGTTATCGGCAAACATACTTATGTGATTATTTTTTTGTTTGTCTCTCAATAGGAAATTTTTGTACTCTACATTATCTATAGATATGAAGGTATACCTGCAATTAAATTGATGAATAAATATTGAAGAACAAAATTGTTAGCATGACAGTTTTTGATCGCGTATCTGTCAATCTATATATATATATGTACCTATAAAGGTAAGCACACACACACATCGGAATCGGATGGACGAAACGGCACGGAAAACAAATGTAATCATATATATGGTGCAAGGAGTTAGTCCAAAGAATATAGGACATACAGTGTAAACTCTTTATAACGTCACTCGATTTAACGAAAAACTCCTTAAAACGTCCAAATTGCTTGACTTTGGTTGGTTTACATTGTTATCTATACAATATTGCACTCTATATAGCGTCACGCTCACTCGATTTAACGACAACAATGCGGCATTATAAACCATTAAGCAGTACTTTCTAAGTTGCCGAAATAGATAAGAACTGCAGCTGTGTACGTTGTTGAAGAAGAGGATCCTGTCCCTCCACCAAGCATCAAACAAGGACTTGATGCAGAAAAACTATTAAAAAAATACTTTTTATATAATCAAATTGATCCAGCAGTATCTCAAGATATGAGTAAGATGCGTAACAAAATACAATTAAAATATTGGAACAGCAAAAAACATCAGACGAAGACAACAGGCTATACGCAATGTACGAATAATAATGTTCGTGTGCAAAATGTGTACTATATTGGTAAATGCATGTTATTATAGAATAGTAAAATAATATCTTTTATTTCTCTCCATTTAACGACCACTCTTTATAACGCCGAAAAATGTTCAGTCCCTTAAGTGTCGTTATATAGAGTTTACACTGTATTTCGTACACGTAATGGAACAGCGTCTTTATCAGCAATTTGTAGTATTTTCAGAAAATTAAAAAAAAAAAGAGATTAACTTTTAGAGTGTACTTATTCTTCAAAGTAGATTTTCCACTTTTTGTGCCTTATCTACTAATCTACATTACATTATTTGTAACTTTCCGTCAGTACTTTTAAGGACGATTGATTGGTAGTTTGTGCGTCCAAACGGAAAAAAGTTCCGACGATGTCGTGTAAACTCAACTTTTATGATCAATAGAATTTATAAAACACAAAATAAACTTCACTTATCTTGAGGTCTTTTTTAAGTCAACCAACTCTCTGTTTTTGTCAAACAAAACACGTTACAATACAGCCGAAGATGAAATTAAAAGGACAATGCTATCCGTTTACAAAATTAAGAGAAAAACATACTTTTGAATCGTGAAGCATATCTAAGGATATCCCAAATCCTTACCACGATATGAATATCTTCAAAATTTTTATTATTTATCGCGTAGGTTTATTTAAAGCTTTCTTAAAATACTGTTCGCGGAGATTATTAAATTACCTAAATAAAGCTACCGAACTATATACGTACTTATTTCGTTTAATATTAAAAAAAAAACAGAATTTATAGATGACGTTTTAGACCAT